GGGGGGTGGTTGGTCACTGATAGGGTGAATTTCCACACCCTTTCCCAAGTTTCTGACCACCAGTAGATGCCTGAAGCTGCAGCAGTCGGTGTCCACCTCCTCAGGACATTTTGTGCCTGGTGGAGGGACTGATGTGAGGGCTCTGTGGAGCTGAGACTCACAGCCTGGCTGGAGAGCTGGTGTGTGAAAGCATCCTCATGATGGCACTGCTCCCCCAGCACACACCCTGTCCCAGTGCTGCTGTCCCCTGCTGCTGGGACAACTGGGACCTTGGTCTGGCTTCCCAGAGGGATAAGGAAGAGCAGGAACTGCTCCCACTCTGCTCCCCAACAGGGTGCAAGTGAAACAGAGCTCGGAGTCCACCCATTTGGAGGTCGTTTCTGATGGGAGCAGCAAATGGCATCTCACAATACTTCCTTCTCTTCCTCATTTGCTGCCTGACATGCCCATTTGCTTCCCATCTTGTCCTGGTGGGGCTGGCATCTCCATCCCCCAGGTGAATGAGGTTGTCCTGTCAGACCCCAGAAAAGTCTGTCTTCCCACAGAAATGCCCTTCCCTGCTTTTCTGCCATGGGATGATGAAGAGCAGAGACCACAGGGGCTTCAGGGTAAAGCCCCTGGGAACACACCAGATGAGGGGTAGGGTGTCTTCTTAGTGGCTGGTGTGGGGGTCTTGGGGGTCGTGGGTGGCCGGGGATGACATCTGGCCAGGAGAACCAGCACAGGGTGAGGAAGAAAGATGGGCATGAGGCACTGGATGGGGCATTTTGGTAACTCAAGTGCTGCAGAACTTGGATGAGAGCTCTGAAGTTCAGCACTCCAGTGTCTGGAGGGCCCTTCTGCACCTTCAACCACCCAGTCCTGAGGCTCCCCCAGTTTTGTCCCCTGGGTGGGATGTGACCCTGCAGCTTCATCTTCCCACTCAAAAAAAAATGTCTCCTCTTCTCTGTAAATCCAACCTGAATTAGTTCTCCTGTGGTTCCTCTGCTCCAGCAAGTGCAGAGGACTTGTTTGCAGGTCTTGCATGGCCCTTGGTGGGGCAAAAGCTCTCCTGGCCATCACCACTAACCTTGCTGTCTGCATATTCCAGAGACAGCTTCATCTGTGGGAGGATCACGGCACAGCAGGACATCAGGATGCTGCCTCTCTCCCTGATGCCAGCCCTGCTCCTCCTCCTCCTCAGCCCCACTGGTGAGCTCCTGGGTGGTGTGGCAGGATGGGGTCATTTTAGGCACCCCCAATCTCCCTCCTGGCCTTAGACTCCTGGGCAGAAGAACGATGAGAGGGAATGTCATGATGTCCCAGCTGGCGCTGAGGATGCACAGGGATGGAGTGAACATGTTCAGCTCTTACCTCCCACCCTGACCTGTGTGTGAACATAGAATCATCCAATCATTGAATCATTTTGGCTTGAAAAATCTTTTCAGATCATCAAGTCCAACATTAACCCAGCCCTGCCCAGGCCACCCCTGCCCCGTGTCCCTCAGCACCATCTCCAGGGCTCTGAAACCCCTCCAGGGATGGGGACTCCCCCCCTGCCCTGGGCAGCCTGGGCCAGGCCCTGACAACCCTTCCCAGGAAGAAATTGTTCCCAATATCCAATCTAAACCTCCCCTGGTGCAACTTGAGCCCCTTTCCTCTGGTTCTAGCACTTGTTCCTTGGAAGAGGAGCCCAAGCCCCTCACTCCAACCTCCCCTCAGGCAGCTGCAGAGCCAGCAGGTCTCCCCTCACCTCCTGCTCTCCAGGCTGGGCACCCCCAGCTCCCTCAGCTGCTCCTCACACTGGTGCTCCAGCCCCTTCCCCTTCCCTGGTGCTCCAGGCTCAGCATTCCCTGCTGGGACAGGTGATGGGGACAGTGCAGGTTTGACCCCCAGAACCAGCAGCATCACTGGGCAGGGGCTGATGGGACCTGCCCAGGCACTGGGTGGGATGAGCACCTGATCTCTGAGGACATCACTTCCTGCCAGGAGGGACTTGGAATGTCCAGCCAGGCTGGGAATCACTGAAATCCAACTGGAAAATGCCATTCCTGC